TAGCATGATAAGACATGATAAGTACATATTGAAACTCATGCTGGCACACAAAAGCGCGATGTTGGACGGCTTGGCGCGTGCCGCGCCTTCCACGAGATGAAACGGCGGGTATGTCACGATGACATCATTTCATTCCGACGTCGCCACCGTGAACCTTCAATGTCGTCGTTGAAGTGAAGAAGAGTGGCGAGACGCCCGAGGTGCACGGCACTCCATGCGGTCGTCCAGACACGGCACCGCGTCCGCGACGCCCTGTCGACCATGGACGGTGAAACTCGTGTAGCCACGTCAGCCCATCTCTTACGTGACTCTAAGAGTTTTCTAGAGAACAGAAGTGCTGCCGACTGCGAGACTACCTGCAGCGAGATTTGCTGCGACACCAAATAGGGCTAGATAGCGGTGCGGTTGCAAGGTGACCACGGGGGCTGGTCGCGCGACAAGAACCTCTCGGCTTTGGCTCTATTGGTGGTGTAGACGTCGTAGGAACGCGAAATGCCCTCTGGAGAGAATGACAAACTGCAGCGTCGTGCACTTAAAACACTTGCGTGCCATGGCTCCCAGCTGTCGCTGCCCATACTTGCAGGGGAGCGTGCCACGTCATGATTTGGTGTTTACTACACTCGATCCCAAGGACTGTTTAAAACATCTATCGATGTCCAGTCCGGATAAGTGACCGACCATCGTCAGGCAGTTGGCAAGACGACAGAAGATCGATGGCCCGCCAACGCCAGACCCAGCGAGGAACCACGCTGCTCCGCCGAGCGCCGACCGGCAAGGAGCCCTATGAGAAGGCGATCCAGAACCTCCGCGCCGCCGCGGCCTTTGTGCCACAGCCGTGGCACACGTTTGAGCTGCCGCGCCACCGCGAACCGCTCGTACATGTCGACACGATGGACGAGTGGCTCGGCTGGCCGCTCGGCAAGGCCCAGGCGCTCGAGGTCATGGATGCATACACGGCGACGCCAGGTTTCGCGGTCGTGCCGGCGGAGCGCCTCACGATCACGAGCGCCGAGTGGCCTCACACGTTGGATATGGTCCATCAGTACATTCAGCTAATGTTTTCACCCCGAGAGTCCTTCTCGCTGCAGCTGTCGCAC